AGGTCATTATATGATGAAGAGATCAATTCAAACAAAAAAATATGATTGCAAATGTATATGCACCTAATGCTAGGGCACACAACATTTTTTTTAAGATTTATTTATTTATTTATTTGAAAGTCAGAGTTACAGAGAGGGCAAGACAGAAGAAGGGAGGGAGGTAGAGACGTAGAGACAGAGAGAGAGAGAGGTCAGCAGGTCATTTGTTGGTTCACCCCCCAAATGGCCACAATGGCTAGGGCTGGGTCAGGCTGAAGCCAGGAGCTTCATCCTGGTCTCCCACATGGCTAAAGGGGCCCAACGACTTGGGCCATCTTCTGATGTTTTCCCAGGCACTTAGCAGGGTGCTGGATGGGAAGTGGAGCAGTCGGGATTCGAACTGGTGCCCATATGGGACGCCGGTGGTGTAGGAGGCAGCTTTACCCATTATACCACAGCACCAACCCCTGAAGCACATGATTTTATAAAGCCAACACTTTTAGATATAAAGGGAGACATAAGCTTCAATACATTACAGCAGGAGACTTCAACACTCGACTTTTACCATGGAACAGATACCCAGACACCCTACCTGCCCCCTCAAAAATCAGACTCCAAACTCAGAGTATTTTTTTTAAGATAAAATTGACAAATCAAGGCAAACCAAAAGAAAAAGAAAATAACACTCAAATAAATAAAAAGAGATGAAAAAGTAGATACTACAATTGAGGTCACAGAAAATACAAAAAAAGCATTAAGGACTATTATGAACCATTATAAGCCAACAAACTGGAAAACCCAGAAAACAATGAATATATTTCTTGACATATATAACCCATGAAAACTGAATCATGAAGACTCAGAAAATCCAAACCAACCAATAACTTCTGAAACTGAAGTCTCCTAGCACCAGTATTGTGTTGTAGCAGGTTAAGCAGCAGCTACTTGGAATACCTGCATCCCATACTGGAGTGCCTGGTTTGCGTCCAGGCTACTCCATGCTTCCTGTCCAGTTTTTTTTTTTTTTTTTTTAATTTATTTATTTGAAAGCAGAGTTACAGACAAACAGGCGGGGGGAGAGAGGGAGAGAGAGACACAGAGAGAGAGAGGTGTCTCCCATTTGCTGGTTCACTCCCCAAATGGCCCTAATGGCTAGAGCTATGCCAATCCAAAGCCAGGAGCCAGGAGCTTCTTCCAGGTCTCCCATGCAGGTGCAGGGGCCCAAGGACTTGGGCCATCTTCCACTGCTTTCCCAGGCCATAGTAGAGAGCTAGATCCGAAGTAGAGCAGCCGGGACTTGAACCAGAGCCCACATGGGATGCCAGCACTGCAGACGGCAGCTTTACCCACTATGCCACAGCTCCAGTCCCCTGTCCAGCTTTTTCCTGGTACAATCAGGGGGACAGTGGATGATGTCTAGGTACCTGGGTTCCTGCTGCCTGAATGGGAGACTTGGATGGAATTCCTGGCTCTGGTATGGCTTAGCCCCAGCTGTTGAGGCCATTTGGGGACTGAACCAGCAGATGGATGATTTCTGTCTCTCCTACTTACTATCATATGCCTTCCAAATACAATAAACCTTTAAAATGCAAAAACCGAAACAAAAATAGCACTAATTCTTCTCCAACTATTAAAAAAAATTTTGACAAGGTGAACACTCTTTCAAATTCATTCTACAAGGCGAGCATTGCCAAAATCAAAGATATAACAAAAAGAAAACCATAGACCAATATCCTTGATGAGCACAGATAATAAAAATTTTCAACCCAATACAACCAACACAAAATTCAACAGCACAAAAATATTTACTATACTCGGGGGGGATTATCCCAGGGATGCAAGGATGATTCAACACACACAAATCAATAAACATAACACATTACATCAACAGAATGAAGGACAAAAATTATATAGTCATCTCCCCCAGAAAAAATGTTCCATAAAAATCCATTTATGATTAAAAAAAAAAAACCCTTACAAACTGGTACAAAAGGGACATATCTCAAAATAATGAAGACTACCCACAGTCAATAGCATACTGAATGCGGAAAAGCTGGAAGCATTTCCTGTAAGATTTTTAACTGGCCAAGGTTGTCCATTGCACCACTTTTATTCCATACAGTACTGGAAGTTTTAGCAATAGTCATTAGGCAAGAGAAAATACAAAAGGCATTATAGGGACTGGTGTTGTAGTACAGCAGGTAAAGTGCCACCTGAAACACCAGGATCCTATATGGGCGCTGGTTCAAGTCCTAGCTGCTCCACTTCCGATCCAGCTCCCTGGTAATGGCAAGGGAAGGCAGGGGAAGATGGCTCAAGTGCTTGGGCTCCTGCCCCCAGTGCGAGAAACCTGGAAGAAACTCCTGGCTTTGGTTTGGTCCAGCCCCGATCATTGTAGATATCTGGGGAATGAACCCGCGAGTGGAAGATTTTTCTTTGTCTCTTTGTTAGATTCCACCTTTCAAATAAATAAACCTTAAAAAAAAAAAGCCTACAAAAAGGAAGAGGAGTCAAATGATCCTTGTTTGCAGACAACATGATTCTCTGAACAGAAAAACCTAAAGACTGCCAAAAGACTGTAGAACTGAAAAACTCCGTAAATTGCAGCATACAAAATTAACAGAAAAAACAAGATCATTTTAATACATTAATAACCAACTTGCTAACAAAGAAATCATGAAAGCAAGCCCACTCACAATAGCTACAAAAAGATTAAAAGCCTGGGAATAAACTTAACCAAGGATGGCAAAGACCTCTACAATACAAAGCACAAAACACTGATCAAGGATTCTGAACACACAGGAAAAAAAATGGGAGGAATTAATATTGTTAAACTGTCAGAGATACCTGCACTCCCAGGTTTACTGCAGCACTACTCAAAAAGCCAAAATATAGGATCAACAGGAAGTCCATCAATGGATAAGGAAAAGGTGTGTGTATATATACAATAAAATATTCAATCGTAAAAAAATGAAATCCTGTCACTTGCAGTAAAATGGATGGAACTGGAGGACATTGCATTAAGTGAAATAAGCCAGACACAGAATGATAAATACCATGTTCCTTCTCATATATGGAGCCTTAATAATGCCCATCTGAAAACAGAACAGTGATTCCCAGGGGTTGGGGTAGTTAAGGGGATGGGGAAGGATAGAGAGAGCTATTAGATAATGGCAACAAAATACAGCTATACGGAAGGAATAAGCTCTACTGTTCCACAGCAGTGGGGTTACCACCATTCACAATAACATACAGTTCAGGAAGAACTAGAAGAAAGGAGCTTAAAGGGTCCAAACATAAAGTAATGGAAATGCTAATTATCTGATCTGATCATACCACACTATACTCCATAAAAATGTACACGCATTACATGTTAATAAAAAAGATTACTGAATTCTCAAATTTCTACCATCCAGTTCCAACAATTAGCAATGTTAATATATACACTTATCTCTCCTATTTGAGACTAAATTATTTTAAGTAAATTTCAGAAATTAAGTCATTTTATCAGTAAATATTTTACTATGTATCTCTCAAATCATTTTTTTTTCAACTTGTTTCTCATTATTGCTTCTTCTCTCAAGAAGTCCTTTTACACATTTTTTTTCTACTCATGAAATGTTAACACTACAGATGCATGCATCTGTGCTTTATACATAAAAAGACCAAGATTTTTTTTCACCGCTTAAAGATCAACATTCACTCAGTTTGAGGGGTGGGGAAGGATACAGTTTCCATTAAGGATGCATGTTCTAAAACATAAGAACCCTTAAAACAACATAAAGTCCAATACCATTCTCATTCTTAAAAATATTTGACACACTTAAAAAACTAATAATCAGTTGACAACCATGCTGTTTTACATACTGAATTATTTTGAAGATATTTTCAATGTTTAGCATGTACAAAAAACCAAAACCGATTACCACCGAAATGACATATACCTGACACATTCAAAACAAATCTGCATCCCCAGAAATGTATACACTTTATTATGATGATGCTACAGAGGTACCTGAAAGTGCTGATTTCAAAGCTTCCATAACATACAGAAGGAATGCTACTTAAAAACGCACACTTCTGGGGCTGGTATTGTGGCACAGTGGGTTAAGTTGGCACCTGCGATGACAGTGTTCTGTACTGAAGCACTGGTTCAGGACCCAAGTTCTAGAGACTTCACTTCCTATCCAGCTCCCTGCTAATGTGCCTGAGAAAGCAACAGAAGACAGCCCAAGTACTTCAACCCCTGCCAGCCATGTGGGAGATTCAGATGGAGCCCATGGCTCCTGGCTTCACCCAAGTCAAGGCTACTTGGGGAGAGAACCAGAGACCTCTTTCTCTTTGTTGCTTCCTCTCTAACTCTTTCAAATAAATAAAAAAATCTTAAAAAAAAAAAAAAGAAAGAAAGAAAGAAAGAAAGAAAAGAAAACTAAGCATACCTACAATAATAACTTATCTTTAGATGATTTTTTAAAAAGATTCATTTGGGTCCCACATGGATGACAGGGGTCCAAGCACTTGGGCCATCTTCCACTGCTTTCCCAGGCACATAAGCAGGGAGCTTGACTGTAAATGGAGCAGCTGAAACCGAAACCAGCACACATACTAGATGCATCCCCTGTGCCACAATGCTGGCCCCATAACTTACCTTAAAAAAAAAATAATACTACACTTTTTAGGCCCCAGCCCAGAACCAGAATTTACCAACATTGGGAATATGGCTACAGAATCAGCATTTTAAATACATTCTAGTCAATGGTAGACATACTGAAGTTTAAAAACAAGTGTCATTGCTGGAAGTTGAGAATACTACTTTTCTTCACTCCTATTCCAAGAAATATTTGCATTTCAAAGAACCAAGAGAAGTAGATGATTTTAAACTCTTCAATCCTCTCCTATAAATGTTTAACACTACTCACCCAATAAAAAGGCAGAAGAGCAAGCAAAGACCAATTACTCCTAGTCCTACCGAGGACCCCACCCCGCAGACATCTGCTCTTACATCCCGAGCTTGTCTTTACCTTTGCTTGAGTGAGAGCTGCCTTCTTCACTTGAAGCTGAGACTGCAGAAGCTTGAAGTTTTTGGACCAGCCTTCTGTTTTTGAGTCACTGGTCTCCACTCCTAGATCGTCGTACAAGGACATCTTTTCATTTTAATGCTGAAAGGCAAGAGGGGCAGGGATTAACGAGTGCAAAATACAATAAAGATGTCAAAGTTTTTCCTTAGCATCATGGAATTCTGCAGGTAAAAGGTCCAGCACCCTTTAGGACGGATGCCAAGACTTAAATCTCCAGTGCAGAGCTTACTCTAGGTATATGAAATTTTGACCATAAATTATTTTAAAAATAAATCTCTAGAATTACTTTTTCTACCTATAAGATCATGTGTTCAAGTGATTCAATAATGAAATCCTTTGGTTCTGTGGTATATAATGAGGTTAAGATGGAAAGAAGTTCTAGATTTAGGGCATAATTATTTACATAGATCTGATTTTTTAAAAAAAATATTTGGAAGGCAGAATTACAGTGGGGGGCGGAGGGAAAAGGGAGGAAGATACAGAGATAGAGATCTTCCATCTGCTGGTTCACTCCCCAAATGGCTGCAACAGTCAAGGCTGACCCACACTAATGCCAAGAACTTCAAAATCTATCTGGGTCTCCCATGGGGTGACAAGAGCCCAACCACTTAGGCCTTGGGCCATCTTCTGCTGTTTTCCCAGGCACATTAGCAGGAAACTGGATCAGAAGTGGAACAGCCAGAACTCGAATTGTTGCTCGTATAGGATACAGGCATAACAGGTGGTAGCCTAACCTGCTGCACCACAACACTAGCCCTATACATATCTGATTTTTTAAAAAATTTCATTTATCTCAATGGCAAAAAGTAGATGCTTAAAAAACACCAATTGCCAGGTTTAGTTTACCACAATTAGCTATCCTTTTATAGTAACAACAACAACAAATTAACAATTCTCAAGAATTGTTTGAAGAATATTTGAAGAACAAATAGACATCATCTCAGAAATGCTTTAATTTTGTAAATAATGACTGTTGAGGGGGGAGTGGATGGGTTATATCTTAAATACTCTGACTTCCTCACAACCCATCAAGTAGAATTTATAATCTTTTAGGACACTGATTATAAAAAGACAATCAACAATCTACATGTGACTGTGCAATACACAATATCCTTGGAAAATAGTTGAATACACAACAACAAAAACAGTAACAGTTAACAGGAGCTAACCTTGTCCAGCCAAGCTCAATGTTAACTGTGATAGGGACCACTAAAACCCAGCAGATTATAGATGTGGCGACCAGGATCTAGGGGATTAATTTGCAAGAGGGCACAATGAAAAACCCCTTTCAAGCCAGTCTTGAGATCATGCTAGTAAATCCCAACTGCCACCTTAAACAACAAAAACCTTCAACACTGTAAAACCCACCAATATGGCCCACTTCTTAGCCCAGAAAGCTTTTTCCCCTAAAAACCACCTTCTACAAAACCCTACTGCAGCCATGCTCTGTGACTCAGAAGGAGGGAAGGAAAATATTTAAATTTCCCACCCAGGTCTGACTCAGGGCGAATACTTCTCTTCAGTTATTCTTTCCTCTCCACCTTCCCACCGCGGGCCGTGGGGCCCTGCCTCCCGACGCCTTAGCTGACCTGAGCTGCACACACGCAGGGTAGGGGCAGAGAGTGGACAGCAGCATGGATTCCCTTGGAGCAGCTGCTCCAGTTCTCAGTACAGTCGCTCCCTGCCTGAAGTCAGTGCTGGGGGACACTGCTGCAGTGCTTCAGTGCCCTCACTCCTCCACTCTGATGTTAAATAAAAGGCCTCCAAGGCCACAAGAAGGACCCGAGTTTATAAAAGCAGAGCCCTGGGGTATTGGCGGCTGACTTCTCCTCCCCATAAATATGGCTCCCTGGCAACTCACCAATGCCGCTGATGGCAGCACTGCAGACCCACTGCCTTCAGCACCAACGTCAAATTGATTCAGAAACAGCAATGCTTTGTGACATGAATCTTGAAGCACAGAGGCCAATTCAAGTAATAACCTCCATTCCCTAACAAGGACGTTTCAAATAGGATTATTTCTTCAAAGTTTTGTAAGGAATCCCCCTGGGACTCACTGCTGAACCTATTTCACTCCATTCTACTTTAAGCTATGAAAAGCCAGGTCCAGCTTACCCTGTTCACTGCTCTATCCCCAGATCAATACCCAACCCAGAGCCAAACAGGAAATGGGGTCACACACACAGGTAATACTCAATTCACAGAGCCCTTCCAATCCGTCTCTTCAGAAATTTTTGGGCAGTGATACACATGGCTTCTGAGGCTTCTGTGCACTTTCCTGCAGCTTACCTAGAATTCAAAACTCACCTTCTCACTTAGACACAAACGTATCATTGAACTCTGATCTAGAAAAACTCAGAGCAGAAGCAAAGAAAAACACGGAGTGTTCATCCTGGCACCATGATTCTCCAAACAAACTTAATTCAGAAATGTACTAGCCTTCACCCAGAAACGGCCAGGCACCTCTCACCTAACTCTGTTTCAGCTTTTGAGCCCTGCCTATTCAACTGGTCACCAAATCAAAGCCCAGTAAACCACAGGATCATTTGTTTTCTTTAATCTTAGGATGGCAAGGGAAGACTAACACAATCTGAGAAACAAATAAACAATGGCACTTTCTGGAAAATCACAAACCATCAAAATTGCATCGCAACTCAAGTCAAACTCTAGGTGTCTATTTCTCTCAGTATCACTTTGTAAGAAACTGGAGAACTTCTTCAAAGATCTTTACAAATATGGTAGTGATAATGGAAACTGGTTAACCAAATACCCATTTAACTTAGGGGAGAGAGGAAGATTACCTTATTCATTTTTGCATCTCCAATGCCTGGTACAGAGTAGATATTTAAACAGCATTTATTAAAATGCTAACAATGAAACAGAAGTTTACATTAACCACGTAAATCAGTACTGAAACTGAGCAATGTCCACAGGTTCCAGTGCAAGGCAAACAGAGGTGACAGCTGCACAATGTGAGTGCACATAATCCCCAGAACCACAAGCTTACAGAAAGCTAAAATCTTAAGTTTTATGTTTAATATATTTTATAATATGCATACAAAGTTTATAAAGAAAAGAATAAGCAAAGGAGCAGCATTGAGGATAGAGGGCTGAGTGAACATTAACGGCAGTACACCTCCCTACCCAGAAAAGTCGACTCTGATGGATAAGTCTCCCAACATTTCGGGGCTAAAAATCAAGCAGGGCAGAGGATCTCTGTCTCCAACAGAGTCCTTACATCTACACTTCCATATGTAACAACATTTCATAGCTGAATTAACGAGATTCGATCAGACGATGCTGCTCCTCTGGTTCTGTTTCATTTCTAAATTCCTTTTGATTGCTTTGCTCTGAAAGTTCTAGAACCATCATGCGGAAAAATCTTATGTGCATTTCAAGTTCCTCATTTGTTTTCTCAAACCTTTAAAAATACTTTAAATAACAGAAACTGATGTCACCTCACCAGTATCTGCTAGTTTTCTGTAACACAGAGCTTAGAAAGTTGAATCTCTGCACCACGGTAAACACAACGTTTTTCATTTTTCTCACTTTCACTGAAGTTCACAGAACTGTACTAATCATAGTAAAAACACAGTTACAATCCACCCACGCATGTTTGGCTTGCTTTTATTAATTATTTCAATACAAAAATCACCTGTGAATTCACCATTCAAAACAAAAGACAGGATTTGGACAAGAAACCACACTCAATTATATGGGCTACCCCAACCCATCCATCTGACTTTCCTTGAATCCCATTTGCGTTATTTCCTTGTTGTTTTCCTTTTGTATAACTTTATTCACACAATTTTTTAAAAATGATTTATTTAAAAGCTAGTGAGACAGATGCAGAGAGAGAAAGATATCTCCCAGCTGCTGGTTCCCTCCCCAAATGTCCACAGCAGCCCAGGCTGGACCAGGCCAAAGCTAGGAGGCCCAGAACTCAATCTGGTTCTCATTAGGGATCCAGGTGTTAAAGCCATCAACTGCCGTCTCCCAGGGAGCACATTAGCAGGAAGCTGGAATTGAGGGCTAAACCAGGACTTGAACTCAGACACTGATGGAGTATCCTAAGGTGTGTCTTAACCGTTACAGCAAATGCTCTCCCCGTATTTACACAGTCAAAACGCATCTCTTCTTCAAAAGATGTATTTAATTTTTATTTCTGTTATTTAAAGCATTTATGAATATACCACAGAATGAAGCTGGAGTCAAGAGTTGGAACAGGGAAACAAACTCAGGTGCTCCGATGTGGGATGCAGGCATCTTAACCACTAGGCTAAAAAATATACCCACTCCTGGAAATTTGTTTTTTAAGTCAGCACACAACTGGCATGAAAAAGGGCATGTATAAGTCTCAGAAGCATCCCACCCACTTTTCTCCCACATGCATCTTAGAAGCTTTCAGTAACTACCCTCAGATTACTACCACGAAACCAGCTGGGGTCACAGCAGAGTTTTACATGCTACGCTGTCTACTGCTTTATACTCCTTTTTTTTTTTTGACAGGCAGAGTTAGACCGTAAGAGAGAGAGAGATGGAGAGAAAGGTCTTCCTTCCTTTGGTTCACACCCCCCCCCCCAATGGCCATATGGCAGGCGCGCTGCGTCAATCCGAAGCTAGGAGCCAGGTGCCTCTTCCTGGTCTCCCATGGGGGTGCAGGGCCCAAGCACTTGGGCCATGCTCCACTGCCTTCCCGGGCCACAGCAGAGAGCTGGACTGGAAGAGGAGCAAACAGGACAGAAACTGGCGCTCCAACCGGGACCAGAACCCGGGGTGCCAGCGCCGCAGGCAGAAGATTAGCCAAGTGAGCCGCAGCGCCAGCCTTTTTTTTTTTTTTTTTTAAGATTTATTTATTTGAAAGTCAGAGTTAGAGAGAGAGAGGAGGAGAAGCAGAAAGAGAGAGGTCTTCCATGCACTGGTGCACTCCCCAGTTGGCTACAACCACCAGAGCTGCGCCGATCTGAAGCCAGGAGCCAGGTACTTCTTCCGGATCTCCCACACAGGTGCAGGGGCCCAAGGACTTGGGTCATCTTCTACTGCTTTCCCAGGCCACAGCAGAGAGCTGGAATGAAAGTGGAGCAGCCAGGGCTTGAACTGGTGCCCATATGGGATGCTGGCACTGCAGACGGCAGCTTTACCCACCACACCAAGCCACCACCGCCTCCCACCCCCATACATAAAAACATCCCTTAAAGATGGGCTGTTTTCGGCCAGTGCTGCGGCTCACTAGGCTAATCCTCCACCTGTAGCACTGGCAACCCGGGTTCTAGTCCCGGTCGGGGCACCGGATTCTGTCCTAGCTGCTCCTCTTCCAGTCCAGCTCTCTGCTGTGGCCCGGGAGGGCAGTGGAGGATGGCACAAGTGCTTGGGCCCTGCACCCGCATGGGAGACCAGGAGGAAGCACCTGGCTTCTGGCTTCGGATCAGCACGGTGTGCTGGCCGCAGCGCGCTGGCCATAGCGACCATTTGGGGAGTGAACCAACGGAAAAGGAAGACCTTTCTGTCTGTCTGTCTCTCTGCCTGTCCAAACAAACAAACAAACAAAAAGATGGGCTGTTTTCATCCTCATCTTTAGTATCTCTAGATCTCTAGCTTGGCAATATGCTTGGAACACAAAAAGCATTCTATAAATATTTGCTAGGGGCCCGTGCTTTGGTGCAGCAGGTAAAGGCACCACCCACAATGCCAGCATCCCATTTAGGCACTGGTTTGTACACTGGCTGCTTCATTTCCCATTTAGCTCCCTGCTAACAGCCTGTGAAAAGAGGCAGAGGATGGCTCAAGTACTTGGGCCCCTGTTTTCCAAGCGGGAGACCCAGACAAAGCTCCTGGCTTTGGCCTGGCTCAGTCCTGATCATTGTGGCCACTTAGGGAGTGAACCAGGGGATGGAAGATCTCTAACGCTTTCAAATAAATAAATAAATCTTAAATATCAGTTGAGTAGGTGGAAATGTATGCACTATTCAAATCACATTATTACGAAACAATTAAATCTGCAGACCTGCTTTTTAAGGACACAAGGCAAGCAGAATTTGAGAGAAGTATCACAAAATAAAACTGCAAACCAAAATTCATCGGAGGAAAAACTACTACCACCATACAATCACTAAGGAGTCAGGGTGTGAGTTCTAGCACCTAAAGCAGCAGGCTAACACAGCACCTTTCTATCACGGAATAGAAATGCAGGCTTCAGCTGCCTCCCTGAAACCTAAAGAATATGGCAAGTATACACAGAAACAGAAAGGAAATCTGAGCGGTGGCGCGCTCTGACATCCACAAACACATAAGCTATCAAAGGGCATCTGCCTCATGTATTAGACCTACTGACTGCTGGAAGAATTTACCATGAATTGCAAAGTCCGCCAGTGCCCCTGGAATTTCGGCGTTTAGCATCCTTGACCATTTTGTTACTATGAAAGGCTCCAGTTTACCAGAACAGGATCACCTCTTCCCTGCGGGGAATAGGGCAAGCTCTGAAAAAATCCATGGCTGGTGAAGAACAGAAAGGTCACTTAAAACAAGCCAGGCAAGAAGAAATCCACTTTAGGTAAAATCACACTCGGGAGTGTACAATTTTCTCAAACTCCCCCATAAAGGAGAGCTTCGGTTCCACAGAACTCCACAACAGAACAGCTCTGGGCTGTTAACACTTCTTTTATGCCTTTTACATCTGTCTACCTCACACCCAACTGTCCGTTCTAAAAACTCTACAGTGTACAGCAGACTGCTTAATAAATCCTAAAAATAAAATGTTCCCAGTGCAGGCTACTACCCCACATTCCCTAAAAGTCAGTCTACTCAGCCTATATTCAGGAAGAAGGCGGAAACTGAGTTGCCTGCTAACTTAAACACTGTTAAAGAGAAACACAGACTTCATCTACCACTCCTGCCTTTGCCCCTAGAATATTCTCTTTCCATCCTATGCCTGGTTCTAGCAATAAGTACTTTTTTTTTTTTTTGAGATTTAGTTTATTTGAAAGATAGAGAGAGAGAGGTCTTCCATCCAGTGGTTTACTCCCCAAACAGTCACAACGGCCAGCCAGAGCTGAGCCAACTGGAAGCCAGAAGCCAGGAGCTTCTTCCGGGTCTCCCACACAGGTGCAGGGGCCCAAGTTGAGGGGCTTGGGCCATCCTCTGCTGCTTTCCCAGGCACATTAGTCGTGAGCTGCCTCGGGGGTGGAACAGCCGGGACTGGAATTGGTGCCCACAAAGGATGCCGGCTATAGGCCGGGGCTTACACCCGCTGCGCCACAGCGCCAGCCCCGCAACTGGGTACTTTCAGTGGCGCCTTCACAGACTTCTCAAAGGACCTGCCTGCATGATCCGATCCCACTCCTCCTCAAGCCTTTCTCTCTGCCTCACCCGCAGTGTCCGGAACGCGCCAAGTGCTTCACTTCTGCACACTTTGCACCTATTCCTTGTCCACAGCACCTAGTCCTCACCTTGCACACCCAACACCTCCAGGAGTCGGTATAAGCATCGCCTCCTTTTGGAGGCCTCCCAAGACCCCGCCGGCTCTCGCCGCTCAGCTCAACCCACGTACGGGTTCTCACGCCTGTCTTCCTAGGGACCAAATTCCTGGAGAACAAGGATACCCTCACTCACCTCGCATCCTCATCAGGCAAGAGGGGCAGCTCAAAACCTCAAGACTACAAAGGGCCGAGGCAGCGCCGGGATCACGACTGCCTTCACCTAACCCGGCGAGCTCCTGGCTCTGAGAGATGCCAGCACCTGCAACTCTCAGTTCTGAGACCCGGGAAGCCATCGGCTCTTCTCCCTCCATTTCCCGAGCCCGGGAGAGGGGTCGCTGTGCGAGGCCAAGGCGGGGGAGGGGCACACTCCGACCTGCCGCGGTGTGGGAACCGCACACCTTCGTTAGGACACGGCTCCCGTAGAGAAAAAGGAACGCTCTTGTAGTTCCAAACAGACCGAGGCAGACTCGACGGGAGAAGGCTAGAGTCTGCGAGCGGAAGGCGTGGAGAAGACGGACCACAGGGCGGGATGGAGACGGCGCGGCACTGCGGGAGGGGCCCGCCGTGGAGGGGAAGACCCTCCCCCGGGGGGCTCGGGCTGACCAGGCCGGAACGCCCCGGCCTCCCGCTGCACGGCCCAAAGCCGCGGCCTCGCGCCCAGCGTCCCCCGGGAAGCGCAGCCCACCTCGCGTCCCCGCTGTCAGGCTGCCCGCCCGCGCCGCGAAGGCGCCACTTACCCAGCCCGCTGCGCCGACTTTGCCCATGAGCCACGGCGGCGGCAGCGCGGGGCCGGGCCGCACTCACCGGGAACCTGCAAACGCTAGCCCACGGCGACAGCCCACCCGCAACCGAAGAAGCAGGGCGCTCCGCGGCGCGGGGCAGGGAGTGCGGTGGCCGACGGGAAAAGCGCGCCTGAGCGTGCGCTCGAGCCTCGGGCGTCTGGCCTCACTGCCCCCTGCCGGTGGGAGGACCACACAGCATGGTCGCCTCCACTGGCTACCTCTTCCACCAAGAGGTGGCGCCGTGGCGCAAGGTTTCCAAAGTGCAAGTTTGAGGAGCGTGGACCCTAAATGCTGGAGAGAAATGGTCCCACGCTTTGCTCTGTCGTCGGGGAGAAGAGAAAGCTCCCCACCCAAGGTTCGCAGCCATTTAAAACCAGTAGTTTATATGTTAAAAAAAAAGCATGCAAATAAATCTCCGTAGGGGAAATACTACAAGAGAATGGCAGCCAGCATTGAACTAAGTGTAAAACCACAATAACATGCCGAGATCCAGTGTGTGGGTGGGTGGGTGGCACAGCGGTTAACACGCAGTTTGGGATGCCTTCATCCCATACAGGAGCTCCTGGATCGAAGTCCTCACTTCCCACGTGATTCCAACTTCCTATTAATGTGCACCTTGGGAGGCAGCAGGGGATGGCTCAAGAACTTGGGGCCCCTGCCACTCACGTAGGAGACCTGGATGAAGTTCCTGGCTCCTGGCTTTGGACTGGCCCGGCTCATACTGTTGCAGACATTTGGGGGAATGAATTACTGGTTGGAAAATCTCTCTCTCTCTTTCTCTCTCCACTGACTCCCTGCTTTCAATATAGATAGTATATGTTATAATAGAATAAAGGTAAAGGTTATAAAGCCTCTCAATTTAAAAACAATGTAGGCCCACGCCGCGGCTCACTAGGCTAATCCTCCACCTAGCGGCGCTGGCACTCCAGGTTCTAGTCCCGGTCGGGGCGCCAGGTTCTGTCCCGGTTGCCCCTCTTCCAGGCCAGCTCTCTGCTGTGGCCAGGGAGTGCAGTGGAGGATGGCCCAAGTGCTTGGGCCCTGCACCCGCATGGGAGACCAGGAGAAGCACCTGGCTCCTGCCTTTGGATCAGCGCGGTGCGCTGGCCGCAGAGCACCGGCCGCACCGGCCATTGGAGGGTGAACCAACAGCAAAAAGAAGACCTTTCTCTCTGTCTCTCTCTCTCACTGTCCACTCTGCCTGTCAAAAAACAAACAAAAAAACAAAACAAAAAAACAATGTAAATTTAAAAAAAAGTTGAAAGGGGAAGGGAGAATGGAACTTCACACGAATATAATTGTCACATTTTTTTTTTTAAAAAAAGACATATTTATTTAAAGGCAGAGTTATAAAGAGCCAGAGAGAGAGAGAGAGGTCTTCATCTGCTGGTTCACTCCCCGGATGGCCACAATGGCCGGAGCTGTGCTGTTCCGAAGTTCGGAGCCAGGGACTTCCTCTGAGTCTCCCACGCGGGTGCAGGGGCCCTAGCATCTGGGTTATCTTCTACTGCTTTCCCAGGCCATAGCAGAGCTGGATTGGAAGTGGCGCAGCCAGCACTTGAACCGGCACCCATATGGGATGGCAGCACTGCAGGTGGCAGCTTTACCTGCTCTGCCACAGTGCCGGCCCCAAGTGTCACATCTTTAACTGAGTGTCAAAAGGCTGCTGCTAAATGATCAAGTAGTAGAAATTTAAGCAGATGTCTTAATTCAAAGAATCATACCAATAAAGATAATTTTAAGGTACTTTGAAAATGTCATGGCAAATGGAACTAAAAGATGTTTATTTTGATGCAAATAAGTTTTGAAATTCATGTACAGTCATAAAATCAATTTAAATTCATGATGAAGAAAGTGGATGTGGGGCCAGCACTGTGGCATAGCAGGTTAAGCTGCCGTCTGCAATGCCAGTATTCCATAGGGGTGCCGGTTCAAGTCCCGGATGCTCCACTTCTGACCCAGGTTCCTGCTGATGCACCTGGAAAAGCAGCAGAAGATGGCTCAAGCTCTTGGACTCCAGCAGATCCATGGGAGACCTGGCTAAAGCTCCAGGCTCTTGGCTTTGGCCTGATCCAGCCCTGGCAATTGCAACCAATTTTCTCTCTTGCTCTGTAACTCTGCCTCTCAAATAAATGACATAAATCTTAAAGAGAGAGAGAGGAGAGAGAGAAAGTGGATAGAATATGGGGAAAGAAAAATACAGTGGGGAGGCAATATACAACCCAAAGAAATAGAGGATTGAGAGCATCAGGTGGTTATATTATAATAGTCACTCAGAACAAAAATGCACATCTTTCAAATGATCAGGAAGCACACACACACACAACAGCAAAATGAAGTAACATCACAAAGTATCTGAAAAAGTTAAAAAAAAAAGTAAGAACTAAGACCAAATGTCTCACATGAATAAATATTTGTAAGTGACCTATACTCACTATTAAAAAGACAATGATCAGATTGGAGCACAAACCACAAATTCACTCTATATTGTATACAAGAAAGTGCTCCCCATTTCAGGCATGGAAAACCAAGACACTGTGGCAAAAAATGACCTACATGAAAGATCTCTGTGAGTGAGGTCCCGGTGGAAAGCAGGGGCCATCAAAGAAGGAGGTACCTTTCTCTGAAGGGAGGAGAGAACTTCCACTTTGATTATAGCCCTGTCTAAATAAGGTCAGAGTTTGTGGATTCAAAAGGTTTCCATAGCCATGGCAGCTCATGACAAGAGCCTCAGGTGATTACTGAACTCATAAATAAGAGTGTCAATTGTTAAATCAACAACAGGAGTCACTGTGCACTTGCTCCCCATGTAGGACCTCTGTCCTTAATGTGTTGTACGATGAGAATTAACAGTAAAACTAGTCTTCAAACAGTACTTTATACTTTGTGTGTCTGTGTGGGTGCAAACTGTTGAAATCATTGCTTAGTATAGAGTTGGTCTTCTGTATATAAAGATAATTAAAAATGAATCTTAATGAAGAATGGGATGGGAGAGGGAGTAGGAGATGGGATGGTCTGGGGGTGGGAGGGCAGGTATGGGGGGAAGAACCATTATAATCTGAAAGTTGTATCTATGAAATTATATTTATTAAATAAAAACTTCCTATAAAAAAAGAAAGAAAGAAAGGGCTCCCATAAAACGATTCTGAAAGCTCAAAAACACAAGACTGGAAAAGGTAAACCAGAAATACACCAAAACGACAAGCCATCAGGACTTGCAAACAAGGTTCAGTTCCAGGCAAAACATTTGAATAAGTTTTAAAAGAGCATTTTATAAAATGAAAACAAATTCACCAGAAAGAAAAAAATTAGGAAAATCTATGCACCGAATCACACTATAGGAGTAAATGAATAGAACAGAATTAATTGGTACCACTTTTGCCAGATTAAGGGCACAAAAAAATCAATGAGAATTGAAAAGACTTCAAAATATAATCAATGGGGCAAATCTAATACATCAAACTCTGTGCCCTGAAACAAACATTGCATCTTTTCAAGTGTTCATGGGATGCATGAGAATAATCTTAATATTTCAACAAGTAGAGCCATCTGGATAATATTATCTGATCACAAATCAAAACTGGAGATTAACAATAAAACGGAAAATAAAACATTCCCACTCCTTGGAAAATTTTAAGTGTTGAGGCAACTTTTGGATCAATAAAGGAAACTTAAACCAAAATAGCATCATACCAGAAAGGATGAAAAGCACAGCAGAAATCATGCAATTTAGCTCAAAAGGTTTAAGAGGAGAGTTTATAGGTTTACACTTTTGTATTACTTTAAAAAGAAGAATTGATTACATGAACTAGGCACTTGTGCAAGAAGCTAGAAATGGAAGAAAATAAAATTGTGCAGAGTAGAAGGAAGTAATTTATAAAGGAAAAAGCAGAACACCGTGTTGCGTAGACACAAAAAGATGAAGGGCAAAGATAGAAAGTGTCTAGACGGAGTCTTGTCCCACCTGCTGATCAAAGCAGAAGTGGGTGTGCGAAGGTCTGATTCTGGGGCCCGGAGCCTGAGGGTCTCCGTCCACATTGAATCTGCTCTCTCTCTCTCTCTCTCTCTCTCTCTCTCTAACTCTCCCAAGTCTCCACTGCGGAGTCCATTTTCTGCCACTTTTCTCTCCCACTTTTGGGTGGAGTTGGGTGCATTCATTCCCAAATCATTCAGTTTACACATTCACAGACAATTTTGACTGATAGACCGCAGATGCAGCCATGTCCATTGTCTGGGAACCTTTCTGGTTGGATTCTCCGGAGGAAAATCTTACTTCCCTCATCTCCTGGAACATGGAAGTACTTCTCTTGCCTCCATTTCCTATCGACAGTAGCAAATATCGCCTTTATTTCACCAATCGAGAAGCTGAGGCTCTGTACAACGGAGGAACCTAACCCAGATCATGCACCTGTTAGGCAGCATAAGCAAAAATGTCTGGAAGAGGGACAAGACCAAATGCTTCGGGGGACCGAGTAGGACTGAAGAGCAAGTGTGCATAGCAGCCCCTAGACAAACAAGTCGGGATTTTCTCCTGC